TCTGCCAGGTTGCTGACCTTTGTGTGGCTGGGACCAGGGCTTGGGGCAGGTTAGGGATAGGAGTTCTCAAGACTGAGTGTCAAATTGTATATATTCATCAGAACCCAGAGGCCTAAGTAATAGGTGTACTTTTGTCTGGTAGCTTTAGAGATAGGAGTGTATACTTGCTATACATATCCAAATTGGAAAAAAAGTACTCTGGGCCAGCATCAAAAGCACTTGCTCCCTGAGAGTGACTTCTGGGAGTAGATCTTCCAGCCATGATCACAAATCATGTGACTCATCCAGGACTCTGTAGAGAACTGTGCTATGATAAAGGCCACAAACCCTACAAACTACACTTTTGTTCATTTGGGTCACCCAGGACCACGCTTCATTCCACCACAATCCTCCTTACTTCTCTTACAAACCCATAGTCCTCTGATTTCAGTATCAGTGTTACCTTAATTTTCAGACACTGTCTTCAGGCAAAGAGCAAAATCAGAGTGTCCCAACCTTTTCGTCAGTGACACAGCCCTTGTATGGGAGAGAGGGACACAGAGAGACAGAAAAAAGGAAGAGTTTCTGTAAAGAGAGATAATTTGAAATCTCCATCCCACTAGTTCTGGAGGCATGAAAAATTTACTAAATAAAATTATTTTATAATAACTAAATAACAGTCAATTGAGGATCTATAATAGTTTATAAAATCATTCACTACATGAATTTTGAAAGAAATGCCCAAACAGTACACTACAGCCATTGGGTATTGGTTTGGATTCCCTGAGAAACTTTTAATTCGTGATACTATTAAACATCTCTTCAGCTCTAGAATGCACTCAGTATTCATCAAGGAGTACAATTATCTTCATTGCCAGCCTTAATGCTACAACATTTACCAAGCACGTTTATTAGAAAGGAATGTATTTCCTTAATTTATATGTTTATTTATTACACACATACTAGACAGCGAAGTAGCTCACAGCCTCCTTCATTTTTCACTTGCGATCTGGACCAATTTCTTGTTCCTTCTCCTTTAAGAGCTGCCCCCTGTTATGCATTGAATTTTGTTCCCCCAAAATATATGCTGAAGTCCTAACCACTGTACTGGTGAATGTGACTTTGTTTGGAAAGAGGGTTTTTCTTTTGTTGTCAATTAAGTTAACGTGGTCATACTGTAGTAGGGTGGATCCTAATCCCTTTTGAGTGGGGGTCTTATAAAAGGGGAGAACAGACATGGAGACAGGGTCACACAGGGGGAAGGCAGACGCTATTTGAAGATAGATCTACAAGCCGAAGAATGCTAAGAAACACCCAGGGTTACCAGAAACTGGAGAACTCGAGGAAGTGTCTTCCCCTAGAGTGGACAAAGAGTGTGGTCCTGCTGATGCTCTGAATTTGGGCTTCTAGCCTCCAGAACTGTGAGAAAATAAATTTCTGTTCCTTAAAGCCATCCACTTTGTAACATTCTGCTATGGCAGCCCTAGGGAATGAAGACACCCATTCCCGTCTCCCCACCCAGGTGGATGCAGTAGGGTATGTACAGCTTGATTCAAAACTGCAAGTGTGTCACGGCAGACCTGTCCAAGCCCAAGGCTCCTCCAGACCAGCCACAGGAAATTTTTGAAAACAGCAAATGTTTTTTCTTTCTTCTTCCTCATATCCATTTCCAGTGTCCTTAATTTTCAGGAAACCAGTTACTTCAGGGAATAAGCCCCTGCTGTGTGCCTTTCCCCCAGGACTCAGACAAGGCCCCCACCCAAGCTCTGCCTCCTCCTTGAAGCCTGGCTTGCTTCATCTCCCACACCCTCTACTTCTCTGATGTCTTGAGGGCACTTAGCATCCACACCACACAATTTAGTTCTTGATTATATACTGTCAAGTGTTTTGACGGTTATATCATGGATGTTGGTTTTGCCGTCACCTGTGAGAAGCTCCTGGAAAAGTTCTTCTCATTGACAGTAGTTCCTGGCACTGTAGATCACTCATAAAAATACCCGTTGCTGTTGAGTCAATTCCAACTCATAGCAACCCTATAGGACAGAGTAGAATTGCCCCATAGGGTTTCCAAGGGGTGTCAGGTGGATTCAAACTGCTGATCTTTTGGTTAGCAGCCAAATGCTTAACCACTGCATCACCAGGGCTCCTGTGGATCAGGTACTTAGTAGATAAACACTTGTCTTTATACATCCCTGTAAGGGTATACACCCTGTGAGGGTAATGAGCAGACCAAGGCAACCAACCCATCCCAGGCCAGGCTAATAGCTAAGGGGTGGCCTCCAGCCTCCCTGGGACTTCTGCAAAGTGTTGAGGTCAACAGTGCATTCCATGGAAAAGTCTGAGGCTGGGCTGCAAGTCCCTCTGGCTTCTCCTAGCCCAAACTAATTTTCTTGTCAATTCATTTTCTTTGGAACTCCCCACCCCCCATCCCTCCCCAGTACCCCTTCCTGAATTTCATTGTTGATGTGAGGCACCTGTGAAAAGAGTACTTTTTCTTTCCATCCCTGGTAAATGCCTGGCTGGCAGATTGGATGGCCGGATGAATTGCTGGACTAACAAATGGGTGGGTAGGTTGGTGAGTGGGTGAGTAAAAGAATGAACTGCCCTGGTGGCCCAGTGTTTAAAGCACTGGGCTGTTAACCGAGAGATCAGCGCTTTGAAACCACCAGTGGTTCCACGGGAGAAAGATGTGGCAGTCTGCTTCCATAAAGATTTACAGCCTTGGAGACCTGATGGGGCAGTTCTACTCTGTCTTTATCATGGATTAAATTACGTCCCACCCAAAATGTGTGTATCAGTTTGGCTGGGCCATGATTCCTAGTATTGTGTGGTTGTCCTCCATTTTGTGATTGTAATTTTATATTAAAGAGGATTAGGGTGGGATTGTAACACCCTTACTAAAGTCACATCCCTGATCCAGTGTAAAGGGAGTTTCCCTGGGGTGTGGCCTGCACCACTTTTTATCTTACAAGAGATAAAAGGAAAGGGAAGCAAGCAGAGAGTTGAGGTCCTCCTACCACCAAGAAAGCAGTGCCGGGAGCAGGGCATGTCCTTTGGACCCAGTGTCCCTGTTCAGAGAAGCTCCTAGTCCGGGGGGAAGATAGATGAGAAGGCTGACAGAGAGAGAAAGGCTTTCCCCCGAGCTGATGCCCTGAATTTGGACTTTCAGCCTACTTTACTGTGAGGAAATAAACTTCTCTTTGTTAAAGCCGTCCACTTGTGGTATTTCTGTTAGAGCAGCACTGGATGACTAAGTTCTATAGGGTCGCTAGGACTCATGGGCAGTGGGTGGGTTCCTAGGAGAGCCCTGAAATGGCACCCTCCGGAGACCGAGGTTCCTACTTGTTCAAGGGGCTCAAGACTCCAGTAGGATCCCATTGATAGTTTTGTTTTAATTGATCTTTTTCAAATATTTGTAACTTAGAAACTGGAATATTTATGCACATGTAGTCATAACATGGCAAGACACTTTGTAAGGGTAACTGTGATTTGGTACACAAACATTCATTTGTATCTAGTTAGTAAGTAATAAATTTTTTAAATGTTCAGTGTTTTTTATTCACCCACTATATTAGAGGGGGAAACCCTGGTCGCGTAGCGGTTAAGAGGTACGCTTCTAACCAAAAGGTCGGCAGTTTGAATCCACCAGGCGCTCCTTGGAAACCCTATGGGGCAGTTCTGCCCTGTAGGGTCGCTATGAGTCGGAATCCACTCCACGGCAAGGATTGTTTTTTTTTTTTTTTTTTTAATTAGAGGGTCATTACTTCCCTCAACTGAAAGAAAAAGAAAAAGCTGAGAGTGTCAAGATCTCCAGAAAGTCTCAGACTTAACTGCATGTTTGAATCACCTGGGATGCTTTTAAAAAATCTTGATGCCCAGACTGTACCTCGGATCTGTTACAGGAGAATCTCTGGAGATGCGACCCAGGCATGTGTATTTTTAAAGCTCCCTAAGTGATTCCAATGTGCAGCCAAGGGGGAGAACCTCTGCTCTAACCCATACACAGTTGAGACTAATGAAAAGATTAATTGTGCAAACCTGAGGGCTTTATGTCCCTCAGTCAGGGCTGAAATCAGCCAGCGTCCTCATTCTGACTGTGACCACCCCCACCCGCCTACTCCAATCGTCTCTTTCTCCTTTACACTTATTTTGAGAAGAGCTCATGGCCCGCCTTCATGAGGACGCATGGTAGTTCAGATGGACTGTGCTATTATCTTGTAAAAAGCTAAACTTCTGTACTCGTGGACTTTGAATTGAACTTCTGTACCTAAAAGCAGTTTTAGGAATTGAGGAAAGCAGATAGTTGCAAAAAATCCCAAGGAACAAAGGGTTGCAAGCCACCCTGAACTGGTAGCTGGCCAATAAAATCACAGGAATGTGGAAAAACTATAAGCCTCAATCAGTGACCACCCCACCCTTAATCAGAGAACTTGCTTCCCTAGTACTTTTGTACATGATCATTGCCCCAGTAAAAACCCCAACTACCTTTTGCTTTGTCACTGTCTCCAGAGCTCCCTACTGCAGCTGTTTTTGTTGGGTGCTGTCAATTTTCAACTCATAGCAACCCTATGTGACAGAGTAGAACTGCCCTGTTGGGTTTTCTAGGCTATAATCTTTACAGGAGCAGTTCCCCAGGTCTTTCTCCCACAGAATGGCTGGGTGGGTTTGAACCGACAACCTTTTGGTTAGCAGCTGAATGCTTAACACGCATTACCAGGGCTCCCTCCCTACTGCAGTAGCAGCTTTGAAAAAGTGTTTGCCTTCAACACTAACCAGTCTGTTTCTGTTTTGACAGTTTGGTTTCTGGCTAGGCCATTTCACTGGATCTCTGAAAAAACAGTGTCTACCAAAAAATAGCTTCTTTTTCCTGGAATTTGGAGGTAGTTGGGTATGGAGGAAGACACAGGGAAGGCAGATCTCACCACTTCATCTTCCATTCCCATTAATGAATTCTTCGAAAGCCCACTAACTGTGCAGGGCTGCTGTAGCAGTTGAACCAAAAGATTTTCACACAACACCAACAGATGCGCACTTATGTATTCAGTTTCCTATGTACGTGAACAACATGGGCCATAGGAAGGGGAAGAGAAACACTGGAAGAGCTGCCTGGCTGAAGTATCACTGACTTCTACTAAGTCATGGGTCCACACACCTTACAAAATCATCTTCCTACAGGAGAATCGGCTCCCACAGGGATAGCATGGGTTGCAGGGGTCACATGGGCTGCAGGGGCTACAGGGGTTGCAGGGGTTGCAGGGGTTGCACGGGTTGAATGGGTTGCAGGGAGAAGCACAAGGGTAGCAGGGAGACTCGATCTTGACGCAACTGCCGAGCCCGTAGGAGTAGGTTACGTCTTTCTCATCCACACAGGGGGGTAAGCTGAACTCTTTGCAGATGTTCATATAGCTGTACTTTTTCGATCCGAGGCAGTCGTACCTGTTCTCCCGTTCGGCTGACACACACACCTTTCCGTCCTTCACTCGAACTTTCACTTGGTCAGGCTCAAAGCCACACACGTTCACCGATCCTAGAATGTTACTGCTACAGCAAGAGGAAGCCAGAATTCTATTTGTTGTTCTTCTCAGTCTAGAAGTTAGAAAAAAAAAAAGGGAGGGTAAGCAGAAGAAGCTCAGATCTCAGAACTCAGACACATCTTGAGAAGCAATACTTGAATCTCTATTTTGTTTAAAATAGCAAAAGTAAATTCTAGTCATTGTGAAAACTCAAACTTTACAGAAGTGTATACAGTAAAAAGTGAGAATTCTCCCTTAAGTCCCACTCTCCTGAGGTAATCCTCTGTTAACAACAAATGGGTGCCTGGCCTTTCTCTTGTCTTTAAATCCTAGCTCCTCCTCTTATTAGCTGTGGAAACTTGAGCAGGTTCCTTAACCTCTCAGTGCCTCAATTTCCTCATCTGTAAAATGGACCTAATAATAGCACCTAATCATGGGACTATTGGGAGGATTAGATGAGATGATGTATTTTACTTAACACTGTACTTGTTAAGTATAATGTACTTGGTATATTGTAAGTCCAATTTTGTTACTATATTTTCATTATTACTATTATTACTACTGTCATGTAGACTCTTAAAGCTTCATTAAAAAAAATGCTATCCACTAACGGAAACTATTCAAAAGTCGCATTTTAAAGATGGCCGTCAGCCTCAGAACCCAGCCCTTCGGATCCACAGGACAGGCACTGCCCTGGGCAATCACACAGAGACTCCGCCTAAAGCTCCATCAACAAACAGCATGACAGGAGTGCCCCGGGTCTGGCTGTGCCCACCAGGCCTAGTGCTTCTCTCCTCCTGCAGCTGTGAGGCTGCTCCAGATTGTTGTCGGCTGGCACCAGCAGGGATTTAGTCAGTTTAGAGGGACTGTGTTGGTCAGATACAGAATGGCTCACCAGTGGTGTGTTCGATCGGGATCTTACCAGCTTGCAAAAGCTGATTGTTCACATTTCTTCCCTACTCCTCATTCAGTGATTCATGTTGATAACTTGAAATTGACCGTGGTGGGAGTATTTACACCATGGAAATTGGAAAACACTACAAATCAGAGCTTACTCCCCACCCCTCGGCGGGTTGTTAAACACCCACTCACTGACAGTCACCTTTAAAATGTAGCTTTTGAATGATATCTATTAGTGGATCCTTTTTTTTTTTTTTAATGAAGCTTTGTCTACATGATAGTAGTAATAATAGTAATAATAATAATCACTTCAATAGCAACCTCTGACCCCCTGAAGCAGCAAACATGAATCCCTGGTTCTTTAGAGCTAACTTGCTGCTACTCAGCACTCCTACCGTGTGGATCCTTAATAATAGTAATAAATAAATCACAGCAGCTCACACTAATCCATTACTTGTGATATACCAAGAGGTGGTGAAGGGGAGTGCTTAAGGGCACAGGAGCTGGAGCTGGATAATCTGGGTTCAAATCTTGGCTCTGCCATGTATCAGCTGTCTAACCTCGGGCAAGTTACTTAATCTCCTTGCGCTTCAGTTTCCACATCTGTAAAATTGAGATAATCATAACCTATCTCATAGGGTTATTTTGAGGAGAAAACTAGCTAATATATGAAAAGTATTTAGAATAATACTTAGCACATGGGTAGGGTTCAATGGTTGTTAAAAACCGAAAAAAAACCATTGCCATTGAGTCTGATTCATAGTGACCCTAGAGGACAGAGTAGCACTGCCCCATAGGGTTTCCAATGTTGTAATCTTTACAGAAGCAGACTGCCATATTTTTTGCCACAGAGTGGGCTGGTGGATTCAAACTGCTGACCTTTGGTTAGCAGCTGACCTCTTAACCACTGTGCCACCAGGGCTCCTTCAATGGATGTTAGTATTTGTTTTTTCTCTTTTTACAATGTGCCTGGAAAGCTCTAAGCACATTAAAAGCATTATTTCATGTAATCTTCACAATAACCCTGTGATGTAGATATAATTATTACCATTTTACAGATGAGGGGTTGGTAGAGGTGGTGAATGGCAGAGCCTAGATTCACATTCAAGCTTGTTTAATGCCAATGTTAAGGTTTAAACCATCAGGTAGACTGAGTCCTTGGAATGAAAGCCCCTGATTCGGTCACTGCCTCCTAACACTAGCCCGGCATTGTCTGGCCCTACTCAGGGCTCATTTTCTTTCAATTTGCCTAATCCAGAAACATCCTAATGCTCCAAACTGGTCCTTTTTTTTAAAATACTTAAAGCTATTTTAAAAAAGAACTAGATGGGTTCTAAGAGACACTCCTGACAAATCATTTTGCATCTCTTGGCCTTCAAAAGGACTTGGACTGGGTGATTTCTAGAACTTCTTCTAGTTTGTGGAGTCTGGACTCTATGATTAAGTGATTGGTTTGAGATACATTTTCAATTCTTAATTGTTATGCTGAATTTTTTTTATTCATTTACTTCTTTTTATTACATAAGTTATAAAAGTTAAATACAGAAAACTCAGAAAATACAGATAAACAAAAAGATATTTTAAAAATATACACAATCCCAAATAATACTTAACATTTTTGTATTAATCTGTATTTTCCACTGATAAACCCTAACCTTATTGATAGAACAACAGTGTAAAACGTTGTCCTGAAGGTTACAAACCAAGACTCTTGTCTTGGGGGGCTGTTTACAAAGTGATCAAAGAGAACTCTGTCCTAGAAGATACTAAGGCAAACAGGAACAAACAACTTGTGCAAGACATCCAGAGGACTGTATGGACATTCGGCTCCATTGCCAGGCCTGGCCCCAGTCCTGGGGATGGCCTGGGTCATGGCCGTCTTGTTGTTCTGGGTGTGCCAGGGCACCTGTAGGCCATACTAAGGAGAAAGAAAGAGATTTGGACTCTCTTTGAAGTCATTGTCTCTATGACATAAATGGGACAACAAGCACTGTTTCCCTAGATGGTCAAGTAATACTAATAAGAGCAACAGGACACCAGCCCCAACTCTATTCACTGTGCTCTCTCTGGATGGACCACAGCCTTGAAGCAGGAATAGCCAAGGCCAAGAGTGGAGCACAGAGCAGAACGAGCATCCACTGAGTCTCTCCAGAATCTCCTACAGTGACCGTTGTAATCAGGACCACAATAGATGGACCCAGATAGAAGGGGAGAAAAATGCAGAACTCAAATTCTTACGAAGTCCAGACTTAGTGGACCAGTTGAGACTGGAGGACTCCCTGAGACTATCACCCTGAGATAAACTCTTTAAACCTTGAACTGAAACTATCCCCTGAGGTCACCTTTTAGTGAAATAACAGATTGGCACACAAGAGAAAGGGTATTACCTGTGAGTACAGGGCTCCACTGAAAAAGCATCTATATGAGACCAAAAGGTCAACAATTACTCTAAAACAAAGATGAGAAGACAAGGGGGGCAGGGAAACTAGAGTACTGGAAATGGAACAACCAGAATGCAATTAATGAGAATGCTGACACATTGTAAAAAATGTAACTAAAGTCGCTGAACAATTTGTGTAGAAACTGTCAGATGAGAACCTAATTTGCTGTGTAAACTTTCACTGAAAACACAATAAAATATTATTGAAAAAAAAAAAAGAATTTCCCACAGCATGTGCATAGGCTAAGAGTCGAAGTTCTTTCACTCAGCTCAGATTTTTCCATACAAGATGAGAAACAACCGAACCTGCCATGAAGACGGGACCGTGCCTCAGGTGTCTAGGATTTACTGCCATAGTTGATTGCACCAGACCAAGCCGTGCTGCCCTCTGGAAGAGATGGATCTGGAAGCAAGATCTATAAGCCAAAGTTGGCTCCCAGTTCCGTATCTTTGAGAATATATAACACCTCTTAGCAGAGATATCACTTTGGGGACTAAGGTAGGCCTGACTCAAGCCATGGTATTTACAGTTGCCTCATATGTATGCGAAAGCTGGACAATGAATAAGGAAGACCAAAGAAGAATTGATGCCTTTGAATTATGGTGTTGGTGAAGAATATTGAATGTACCATGGACTGCAAGAAGAACAAAGCAATGTGTCTTAGAAGAAGTACAACCAGAATGCTTCTTGGAAGCAAGGATGGAGAGACTTCATCTCACATACTTTGGACATGTTATCAGGAGGGAACAGTCCCTGGAGAAGGACATCATGCTTGGTAAAGTAGAGGGTCATCGAAAAAGAGGAAGACCCTTAACGAGATGTATTGACACAGTGGCTGCAACAATGGGCTCAAACATAACGATTATGAGGATGGCACAGGACTGGGCAGTAGTTTGTTCTGTTGCACGTAGGGTCGCTATGAGTCGGAACTGACTAGACAGCACCTAACAACAACAACAGCAACCTCTGAGTCTTAAGGTACAATTTCATGTATTTTACTGTCTTGGATCTCCCTTTTTTCTCTATTCCTAAGCACTTTGCCCCCTCTTTGTCCCTGCAGCAGCTGCACCCCAAACCCATTTCCTTCAAGTCAGTTCTAACTCATAGCGATCTTACAGGACAAAGTAGAACTGCCCCATAAAGTTTCCAAGGCTGTAAGCTTTAGGAAGTAGATGTCACATCTTTCTCCTGCCAAGCAGCTGGTGGGTTGGAACCATCGACCTTTCGGTTAGCAGCTAAGTGTTTAACCACTGCGTTAAGACCACCAGGTCTCCCTATAGCAGCTGCACAGGGGCCCTAAAATTGTGTGTGTTCAGGAAATTGCCTAAAAAGTCTTGGCAGGTCAGGTTTCTCCTTCCTCTTGCTCTAGGTCAGGGTCCTCACTGGGAATGTGGTTTCAGGGGAAATTTCAGGAGCCACATTTTACTCATCAGACTCAGCTCTGAACTTGGGACTCGAATCCTGCCTGCTAATGTCCTCATCACCCCGCGTGGAATTTTCCATGACTCCGTGGGGCTCTAGGTAAAAGGGAGATTACCTCCTATACTCTGTTAGCGTGAGGGTGAAGTTTAGCCACAGTAAACTTAGGGAAGCCAACCCCTTTGATTCTTTGCAGAAGCCTGTTAGGAAAGCTGGAGAAAAGTTGGTGGCAGCCTTGCCTGGGTCTGCCCCTCTTCTCCCTGTGGAAGCTGAGTTTCACCTGCATGTACAACCAAGCTCCTGAAAGTAAAATACACTGCCCACAGCAATGCTGAGCTCTCTGTTTAGCCATCTGCACGGTGATGTAAATCAGCAGCTTTAGCTTGGTAATGAATAAAGTCATGAAGATGTGAAAAATGCCTATCTAGAGGAAAGGGCGACAGGTCTTCCTCGAATTTTCCTTGGAGTTCTTCACTTTGTCTCCCTGAATTTAGACCCATTCCAAAGACCCATTTAGCCTCCATTCCTACCCATCTTTCCTTTTCTCCTTTCTTCTTCTTTCCTTATTTTTCTGCCATCCCTCTCTTCCATCAATTCTAAAGCGGTGTTCAGGCAGGATGACCCTTGGATCAATCTCAGAGAACAATGTCACTCAGCAGGGAGCAGGGTAACCTAGGACTTGTGCATCTGTATCCTCCCCCCTCCCCCCTACACCACCCCCTCCAGGCCTTGTTAAACACAGGTGTCTGGATCCCACCCCTAGAGTTTCTGATTAAGTAGCTCTGGGGTGGAGCCTGAGAATTTACGTTTCTAACAAGTTCCAGATGCTGCTGCTGCTTGTCCAAGGACCACTCTGAGAACCCCTGACCTGCTGGTTAAGCATATGGATTCCAGACTCAGGCAGACCTGGCTTCAAGTCTCGGCTCTGCCACCCCCTAGTAATTGAAAATGTTGCCCCCGAATCTGTTTCATCATCTATAAGATGACTGATATAATATCGCTCAACAGAGATGTTACAGGGATTAAATGAACATGAAGTGCTATGCATATAGTTTTCCCTCCATAAAGGGGAAGTCTCCTTTATCAGGCTGTACCAGTCTCCACCTTACACAGAATTATCTTAAATCTGAGGCTTTAAGTGACCAAGTCCTAAGCCCTGAATTATTAAACAAGGGTGAACCAGATCATAGAAATACATTGGTCTTGATGGGCAGCAGCCCCTTCCCCTGCAGCAACAGGGTGACTGGGCTCTGAGACCTACAAGTGGGAAGAGATTGTGATGAGAGGGGACTGAGGGGCCCAGCTTGTTTCCACCTCAGCTGCGGACACAGAGCTGAGGGAAGCCAGGAAGCTCTCTTCTCAGAGGGAAAGCAAGCTCCCGGGGTTCCTCTCCAAGGGCTTTCAACAGTGTCCTGATCTCTGGGTCAGAGAATTGGGAAATAAAGAGATTTTTCTGAGGGACTAGACCCAGGCAAGGCACTGCTACACCCAGAAGGAATTCACCATGAGAGCTGACAATCATCAGCCTCACAGAGTAAGACCGGATTCAATGAAAATCTCACACTCAGAGCACAAAGGGGTAAACGAGGGAAGAAAAGAGAAGGCAGAGTCTTGAAGTTTAAGAAGATTGTGTGGGAATCATTAGGGGAATTTCTCACTGAGATTTAGGCCAACCACTCTGGGTGAGTGGAGGCAAATCCGGTCTCGGGATTAGATCTAGGATGCAAAATGGAGCCCCATGCCTCTCCAGTGGTGCCACCGCAAATGAAGATTTGTCCACAAGGACCAGTGCCAGATGTCAGGGCACAAGGGATTCAGTAATTAGATGATGAACTCCTACAGGCACTATTGAGGAGGGCTTTTTAGTACAGAGGACAGAGAAGACCACAGTGTGGTGGTGAAGCATGTTCAAACTTAAATTAAGCTGGTGGCATGATGTCTTACAAAGGAAACCAAGTTCAGTGACCTCAGTCCTCTATATCCAGAAACAGGAAGGAAGAGTCAGGGGAACCACTAGTGCTAGGGTCAAAAGATAATTTAGGGAGGAATGTGAAATATCAAAGAAGCTAAAGAAGAAAAGTACTTGCTTGGGTTTCCACGAGGGAAGACCATAGAGTCCCCACTGCCAAGGTATCTGTTGAAGCAGCTGCTCAGAAAACAATGGAAATGGAATGGAACTTCTATGCCCAGTCCAAAAACCACACACACACATCAATCAGATAATGCACACTCAAGCATGCTCTAGAAACTTATGGGGAAAACTGAGAAATTGTTAGCCAAGGCTTCTTACTAGTTATGAAAGGAGCATGCAGAGATAGAACAGAGTGACTTGACATTGAAAAACATCTCAGAAAACATCTCAGAGGGGTTCTGGCAGCTACAGTCCAGGGAGCATCACTTTCTTGTCGGACAAAGAACCCTCTCAACAGCACAACCGGGCAGCTTAAAGGACATGTCATGCCTAACCAAACCACTAGCATTCTTTTAAGAGGTAAAAGGCCAGGTGAACATGCCTTCTGAATTCAAAAAGCCTCAGGCAAGTTTTCAGGCCAAAGATTATTAAAAAAAAAAAAAAAATTGAATCAATATGATATTTCAGGATCTAGTTAGTCATGGAACTGGAGCTGGCTTAGAGATAAGAAAAAAAAAGAGGCATTTGACTGGAAGAAAAATATTAATGGGAGTTCTTTGGGACTGGGGCTGGGATCAGGGTTTAACATTTCCATCCATATTCTGTAAAATTGAATATTTAGATTTGTAGGTGACACTAAGCCCTTCTGGATAATGAAATGTCAAACTGTCAGAAATAGACCATAGAAAGGTTTCACAAGGTAGTGTGACTAGGAAGAAAAGTGGCTCTGAGGAGACACAAGAGGGCGAGCCTGGGATCATTTCTAAAATGGACTGAGAGTCATTAATTAAGAGCTCTGGGAATCATTGTAAAGAAATCACCAGTTTCATATACTGCTGCGGGAACAGAAAAAAATTTAAAAAGTCAGCAAAGCCTGACAGGAAAAGTATCACAAATCAAAGAAAGCATTACCACTTGTATAAACTACACTGCTGAGAATTAAACTTGAAGTTGTGTCTATTGCACACCAAGAAAGTGGGCCTTCTGGAGAAGGTGGAGAGAGCCCAGATGGTAAAGGAGGAGAGTCATACTCACCAGGAGAGTCTGGGAGTAAGGACACAGCCAGGAGACAAAGGCTGAAAGGTTTTGGATCAAGAGTATTCAATGTCTCCATGAACCACTACCTCCTTTGCCACGAGACAAGCAAAACTGGATGATGCCCTGCTACCATTACTGAACATTTTGATCAAGGACCCAATAGATGGATCTTGATCAAATGGAGGAAAAAACGTGGAACAGAACTTCAAATTCTTATTGGAAACCAGACTTACTGGATACGTTGATACTGGAGGAACCCTCAAATCTATTGCCTGAAAACAACTTTTAAGCCTTGAGCTGAAACTATCCCATGAAGTCATCTTTAAACTAAATGACAATTTAACTCATTTAATAAAGAATGTTCACCTTGAGCATTGTGCTCTTTTAAAGAATTATCTATATGAGAGTAAATGGACAACCAAAAAAAAAATCCAAACCTGTTGCCATTGAGTTGATTCTGACTCATAGCAACCACAGTGACTAAAATACAGTATGGGCAGAGATAGGGAGAATGGTGACACAGTGTGAAGTATGTAACCATTGTCAATGTGCTGAACATGTAAAAATTGTTGAATGGATGTATGTTTGGTTATGTACATTTTCATCAAATTTTTTTAATTTAAAAAAAAAGTATTCAAGTATTCAAAAGCATAAGGAGAGTGGGCATGGACATGCTTACAAGTACCCCTTCATTTGGAGCAAGTATTAAAAAAGAATCCCTGCCTCACAGTGTGAACAATTTCTGTAACTTGATACTCTTAAGGAGTTAAAAATATAAATTGGTTCAAAGACAGTGTAGAAGAATTGATAGAGCCTCACCCCACACTACTGAGGGAGATCCATTCCTGACCTTTGGTGGTTGGTGATCTGGACAATAATTGCCCTAGTGCCCTTTCCAATGAAGTGTCCCTGTCACTGTTGTCAAGGGAGTATCCTTATCTATCTATCTGCCTATCATCTGAATATGCCCCTCCTTTTAACAATAAATATTACCATAATAAATACATTTGTTTTGCACCTTGCTTTTTTCACTTAACAATACATCAATATGTAAAAAGCTTCATCAATCCTTTTTACATTTACATATCATTCCAATTTATGGATGTACCATAATTTATCTAACCAGGGGAACAGTACTTTCAACCATCTTTTTCATCAATGGTAACAGCCTAAATGGCATATGTAGAAAGTCAGAAGAGAAAGACTTCCTCCAGGCAAAAAAGAAAATGTAGTAAAAAACAAAAACATTTTTAAATTACCTAGTTCAATTAAAACCTTTTCAAGTCTACTCAGAAAGTTGCGACTCACAGTTCTGTTGTTGCACTGCGTTTACTAGAGTTGAACGGGGAGGCCAAACTCATAGACGCAACTCCAGATGAGTTTTAAGCCTTTTTCTGGAATTTGGGGGTGGGAGAAGGGTTTTCCTATAAAACCTAGGAAATGCCTCTCTTGTTCAATTTTCTCCCCTGCTCATAAAGCCTCTGGCAAACATTAAGGATTTGATCAATTATTATTACTTTTCCTGTAGTCATTTCTGTAAGTCCAAACATACTCAATTCACTTTACTCATAACCAGAAAAAATGTGTAGTTTGCTGCTTCCAATAGCTTTTTAATGACATCCCCTATTTCCTTCCCTCATTAAAACCACATTATTTATCATGTTGGCATCCCTGCTATAAACCCACCAACAACCTTGCCAATCGACATCTTTACAGTGTCTTTTGAGAATCTTACAATTCCCATCATGGACCCATTTACTCTTCTTTTCTTAAATCTTTGCTAAGTCACCAGAGTCATTAGCTTGAACCCTTATCATCTTTGTTCAGCTATTGATTGTCAAAAATTTTTTCCTTATTCCAACTTATAAGGCTAATATACAAACTATAAAAGTCTAAAAATAAGTTCCTTTACTTGGCAAGCTCTCTCTTTTCATCCTCTATGGCTCTAATGGCTTTCCTCTCCAAACTTCTGAGAGATGGTCGAAGACAGTAAAACTTGTAATCACACAGGCAACATGGATAGAGATCACACAGGCCACAAGAACGTGATCGCTTTGAATAGCACAGGCAGTACGGATATGGGTGCAAGTCACAACAGCAATATGGGTGCATGTATAAGTCGCACAGGCATCGTGAGCTAAGTTCGTCGATGCATCTCAGTTGCCTCAGTTCTCTGTCCACCTTCTTTATGTCCCTTCTAACGCTGTCCAAAAGACAACTCAGTGCAGCCATTACAGTCACACCTTATTGTTCTTTGAGTACCTTTGGGTAATGGCACTCAGGGGAAAAAATTGTTCTAAGCTCTGCTCAGAAGTTTCTTTTAAAATTAAATGAAGCACACATGATTCACTTACTTTAAAGCTTGTGTTCTATGACCTCATCACACTCTAAGTATGTCATAGTCTTTTGGTTACCATGTGAACTGTAAACAGTCACGGTCTCTAGACACCTTCCTGGAGTTACAAAGCTACTCTCAGAACCATACTAATGTTGAGATTTCATTCACCTTGAAGTTAGGTGGGTCCCCCAAGCATCCGCAGCTCTTTGGTGCTCTCGGGAGCAACTTTGAATGTCTTTGACTTGTGTATGCTCCAAGGACTAGCCCTGGCTGTGACTGTGTGTTTATTGATCTTAATGTAGGTTATGGAAGGAGCTACCCACCGCCTTTATCTATGTGTTTCTGGCTCCAGCCCTGGCTTGAAGCTTAGACTTACCCTTTATACTCTAAGACTCATTCTGGCTCGAGGCAGGCAGAATATAAAGAACTATCCCTGATTCTCCTAACCAAGTCATCCTCAAGTCAGTCTTTGCCTTTGACCTTCCAGCCTTCCAAATTGCTGGAGTCCTGCCCATTCTTTTCTAGTTGGGGTCCTGGCTATTCTGTAGCCTCGGTTGTCCAGTGGCAGAAGTCCTGCTCTTAAGCTCCAGTCTCTCAGTGATCAGGGTCTTGTTCTCCATCACCACCTTACAGCAGTTACACCTTTGGTCTTGTTCCAAGCCTCCAAATGCTTCTTCCCAACCCCAGTTGCTTCCCAGGTGTTGGTCTTTGACAGAAGTTGTATGTTATACAACTGCTTGTTGAACATTGTCACCAACTGCTTGAAGTTGCTTGAAGACAAATGCTTGACACCCCAACTTCTGTCAGTTTCTTGTGCTCTCAGTTGGATAAGCATGCTGAACCTTGGACTCAGCTTTACCCTTGGCTCACGGTACTTCTATTCCTCTCAATCTGCTACATAGCTCTCAACTCTCCTTTTTCTAGACTAAACCACACTTGAAGGTAAGTGGTTGGATACGATGCTGGAGAGGGAGAAAAGGACCAAGTAGTGAAGAGATCTGTAGATCAGACTAAGGAATTTGAACTTTATTTTGAGCACAGTGAAGAATCACCCGTTTCCTTCTATTGAGGGAAAGTTGAAGGATAAGTAAAACAGTCACACTGAAGGTTCATTGTAAGGGGACAACACTGGAAGTGTCTTCTCCTGGAAGGAAAGAAACAATGAAAGTATGGACTGGGGACTGTGGCTATAGGGGTGGCACGGAGGAAGCCAATGGGACTGCCTTTTCCCCACATCTACTCAGGCCCTGTCCAACCAATTCTCCACATTACAGCCAGAGAGATTTTCAAATGTGTCATCCCTCATCACCACTCCTTGATTTAAAACCCTTCAAAAATCTTCTCTGTTCTCTTAAAAGAGAACCAAAATCCTTACAAGGCTGAAGACTAGGGCTCCTGCCTACCTCTTCAGTCTCATCTCCTACCATTATTACTGTAATTCATTACACTTCAGCCACAATGGCCTTCTGTGAAGTCTTACACCTTCCACTTCATTCATGACTTATACACACACTGTTCTATCTGCTTGAAAGTCTAACTCCCCACCACATATCCTTGGCCTAGTTAACTCCTAACTCATCCTTTGTATCTCTTCTTTAAACATCTCTTCCTCTGGAAAGTCTTCCCTGTCCCCTAGACTAAACACCCCCATAATTCTGTGCATATTTCTTTCATAACTTTGTCTGTTTCCCCTACTAGCTTGTAAGCTCCATGAGGACAGGGACATTGTCTATTTTTGCTCACCTTAGATATCTAACACAATGCCTGGCACATAGTAGGTGCTTAAAATTTATTTATGGAGTGAATGAGTGAATTAAACACAACCTAGTCAACAGAATGAGGATGGAATGAGGGAGGAATCAGTAATGACTCCTAGGTTTCTAGCTTGGCGTAATCGTGGTGCTATTGACTGACATAAAAAATACAGGAGGAAGAGTAATAACTTTAAGATAGAAATGTGGGGTAGCTTGTGGTTGAGTGGATCTAGAACTCAAGAAAAAGCTAGGCTAGATATAAAAAATGTAGAAGCCACAATGTCATAGGTAGTTGAAACCCTAAGAGTGGACAAGATCATTCAGGAATAGCTTGAGAAAAGAAGAAGGCTGTGGCAGAATCCTGGGGAATAATAACAAAAAATGGGAGAACAGAAAACAGAAAAAAGAGTAATCAAAGAGGTAAGAGCCCCCTAAGCTGAAGTCCCTTGTGTATCACTAGACCAAGCCTAGGACTCCCCAACAGCTCAATGTTTCCCAGCCCTGACCTAGGAGGCCCATTTCTATGCAGATTAAGTGTCTTAGCAAGGAAAACAAATTTCCTTGGAGGTTTTATAACAGGTAGATGGCTCCTTTATCTCATGTGGGATGAGTCAGAAGGCAAAGTTGAAACACACTCTTCTATGGACAAATGCTGAAGTTTTTCAGGAGTGATTCCACCCAATTCTGAGAGGTGGACTCTCTTATTAGGAACATGGCCTACTCTTTCCTGATGGTAAATTGCAGGAGTTGTATAGATTTCTCTAGCTCCAAGTAATAGACTTCTGAATTCTATGTCACTGTGAATTTCATCCCTTAGCAAATGTCAGCAAAGGTTAAAGCAGGCAAGCTCTCTATTTTAGATTGTTAAATACACAGGTTAAGGAAATTAAATACACACATCTGTGTATACATGGTACAATATTAAGATGGTGATAGCCGTATTTCAACTAGGATTCTCCCATTATCCAATCCTTCTAGTAATTCCACTCCTCATCATGAAGCATATTCTTGACATCATTTTGAGTGAATGAATCAAGGTTGTGTCTCCTTCAGAGATCAGATGGAAATGTGATCTATCATATCAGAAGGTCAATGTTAAAATTCATTAGAACTTGCTGAAACCCACAGGAAAAATCTAAGGTCACAGTTCCCTTGAAGCATAAACACAAGCATCTTCCTTGGCTCTAGTGCGAAGATGGAGCCTTCTTTACACTGGACTATGTCTGTGGAAACTCCTATCCACTACTGTTGGTGTCCAGATGGAACCTACTCTGGGATAGAGAGCAGACGTTGGCAAATTCCCAGTCTGGGCAATGTGGGTGCTTGGCCCCCAGTGTTGACAGAACTGTGGGCGAAATAGGTTCTCCTTTGCCTCTTCCACCAGGTAGGACAGCCACATGTCAAGTCCATTCTCTGGACTGATGTTACAAAGATACTCCTCTGGCAGTTGATTCATCAATATGGAGAGCTTCAACATCAAATATTAATCATACACACAATGTGACCTCAACTATGTTAAAAGAATCCACAGAATGAAGGAAACATCCTAAAGATTTAACTGTGGTTACCTGTGAGTAGTGGGATTATAGATGATTTTTAAAAGTTCTCTTTTGTAGTCTGTGATTTCTAAGTTTCTTCAATGAGCATGTTACGAATCTTATAACAAAACACTTTTTAAAAGGCTTGCTGTCCATCACATTATCAGCTTTGTACTAAATTGCTAAGCCCACCTCTAGCCCTGTCTCTAAAAGCCAAGAGGGCTTCAGAGCTACCCCTCTGAGTAGGTTTGCCAATGGAGAAGTCTTCCTGTAATGGTCATCTGCTGTTTGGCCTGCCCGTCATCCATGGCACCTTTTTTCGGTAAAATAACTACCTCCCCCACCCACACCCATCTTTCGCCATTAGGTACTATCAGCAGAGTTGCCCAGCCCTGTCCTGGCCAAGGAGCAGACACAGAACCAAAGCTGGTCAATCTGGCTCTCTTCTGGGAATTTGATCTTTAGCAAAGAGGCATAAAGCCTGAAGGTGGTTAGAGCTGATTCATCCTAACAGTGATGACTGAGGAGACTACACCTCAGGTACTGCCCCGATTCTGTCATTTTCAAGTTTGTTCTTCAGTTTTCCTTTGGGTCTGTGAGCTCCTCCACACCCTTCCAATAAAGTCCAACTGTTCTTAAGTTCGCTATGAGTCGAAATCAGCTCGGTGGCAATGAGTTTTGTTTTTTGGTTCTTAAGTTACCCAGTCAGTTTCTGTTACTTGTAACTAAAGAGCCCACTGGTAGTGCTTCCTAAGTGCCTCTTAAGTGATTGAAACCCTCTCTTTCCCTTCTTGACAATTGACGTTTTTGTTTCTCACAAAGAAATCTTGCTTACCAGGAATTTTTTCCCTCACATGGCATGGATCACTTATTTTGTAGAAGAACATGAACTGTCTTTGTCAATTTACACCAAAGAAGATGCATTCAGAATAAAACATGCCCACAGAGGAAAGCGCCAAGTCTTTCTACCAGGGTTCTCTGCATGGGGAGTGAATTTTTTTATCTGAATTTTCTACCTCCAGCTGGGCTTGTATTTAACCAGAGAACATGAAATACCAAATTCTCCCTTTACCTAATGTTCTGTTTGACTCAGCTTTCTAGGGAAGGCTTCCAGGAGCTGAGGTACATTCAGATCCCTGACTCTTACTTAACTTCCCCCAGGGGCCCAGCAGAGAGAACAAGGTGGGACTCCTGATGCTAGAAGCTGGAAAGAAGCCAAGATCCAGGTCCCTTCAAGCTATGAGACAGGATGGTCCAAAGAGAAGGAGGATAGAAAAGAGGAGGAAGAGGGGACTCTGGCACCTGTCTTCCTGCTCTCATTCAGCTGTTCAGAAACTTTACATTCTTAAACATTTTTGAGGACAAATATTGTATGAGACCACTATTATAAGACTCAAGAAAAGGTTTAAATACAGAAGAAAATATTCTTTGATGGTTATGAGGGTGGGGAGGGAGGAAGAGGGGTATTCACTAACTAGATAGTAGACAAGAATTATCTTAGGTGAAGGGAAGGACAACACGCAATGCAGGGAAGTCAGCACAACAGAACTAAACCAAAAGCTAAGAACTTTCCTGAATACAACCAAACACTTCGAGGCACAGAGAAGCAGGGGTACGGGTCTGGGGACCATGGTTTCAGGGGACATCTAGGTCAATTGGCATAACAAAGTTTATTAAGAAAATGTTCTGCATCCCACTTTGGTGAGTGGC